ACAGCGAAGAGATTCGTAATCTAATTCTAGGGGACTGTCACGATACTGAGGGACACTTCGGTTGGCAAAAGAAGTTAGCCAATCTGATGCGTGCGTACACATGGCCAGGGATGAAGAATGACTGCATAGAGTATGTCCACAGTTGTAAAGTGTGCCAGAGAAATGAGTCTACTACACGCGCGCCCTTAGATCTTCTCAGGCCCTTGCCTATTTCGGATCAGCCGGGAGACTCAGTGTCTATAGATTTCATGGACACGCAAGTCAAGAGTAGACATGGTAAGAGCCAAGCCATGGTCATAGTCGACCGTTTTAGTAAGTATGCAGTTTTCATTCCCTTGCCTGCGGAGGCACGTACAGATTTAGTAATACAGAAGTTTTTTGACTTTTGGGTTAGTGAGAATGGAATCCCATTGTCAATTGTTAGTGATAGAAATAGTCGCTTCACCAGCCAGAGTTGGCAAGAACTCATGAGAGTTTACGGATCTAAGTTGTTAATGTCATCTGGCCGTCACCCAGAGACTAACGGTCAGACAGAACAGACGAACAATATCCTACAGCAAGTTCTGCGCATGTACATTAGTCCAGATCAGATTAACTGGGATGAGATGTTGCCTAAAGTAGCTAGTGCATACAACAACAGCGTGCATCTATCGACCTGCCGCACTCCCAATGAGTTGCACAAGTCCTTTAGACCACGCAGACCGTTCGAAGGACTGAACCAGGATCAGATTCACAGACTACTGCCCGGAACCAGGGAGTCTGCTTTGCAGCATGAGAAAGAGTTAGCAACTGTTGTTGAGAACCTCAGAAAGACCCAACATAGAATGATAGAACAGGCTAATAAGCACCGTCGCCCCTCACAGTTTCAGGTAGGCGACTTAGTCTGGGTCAAATCTAAAGAGTTTGCACCTGAGGAGCACATCTCGCAGAAGTTATTGCCTGCCTATAGAGGACCGTGGCCGGTATTAGAAGTCAAAGGCGGAGAGAATGGTCCGTCCTATACTATAGAGATCCCAGCACACCTCCACACGTACCCAGTCTTCCATGCTTCCAAGCTACCGTATGTCACAAGTGAACAGTTCCCCTCGAGAAGATCCATGATCCCTCCGGATATGGATGGAAGATACGACATTGACGGTATTGTAGACGAAGATGTGTTTAGAACAGGAGGTAGAGGTCGTCCCCAGAAACAGTATAAGGTTCGGTTTGCCTACCAGGAGCCGGAAGACGACCGCTGGTTCACAAGAACAGATCTGTTGGAGACAGCCCCTGACATAGTGAGGGCTTACGAACGAGATAAGAAAGGTAAAGGTCCAGTCTTGGATTGAAATATTCTCGGAGGACCTCGAATTTAGGACRGTGGGTGTGAAACAGTTTTCACCTTTRGMRGTAGCCGATGCAGATCCCAKGGGTCGAWCCYTTGACCTCAGCTTACCTGTGTACAGTATCTGCACAGTTCCCTGGAGTTGAACCCGTGACCTGCACGATAGCCAATGGTAAGTAGGTCGCCGTAGGTTGTAGGCTGTAGGGAGATCCGAACTGTAGACCTGTAAGGTAGGAGTCCAAGTAGAGTCCTGAGGCCTAGCTTTAGTCCTTCTAGAAGGTCGGCAAGTGGTCAAGTGGTGAGTCTAAGGTAGGCCCACGTTTTCAGACGAAGACAAGTGGCAAGGTCAACAGGTAGGACCTCAGTGCAACTGCACTGAGTCGACGGTACGACTGCCTACAGTCAGGAGAAGGGTCTGGAGAGTCCCAGTCCAGACCAGCAAGTACCACAGGGGGACTGAGCACCAAGGGCCGATGGCAAAGGGCAGACCAACGAATTTCTGAAGTATAAATCAAGAGGCAGCGCCCAGCCATTCACTCATTCCTGCGTGAGCCATGCGGAAGCGCTGCCACAGCGACTTGTGCAAGGAGGTCTGCAGATGAGCCCGGAGGACGCAGTGGGCAAGAGAGGAGATTAGCATAGCGATAGGCTAGAGGCAGCCATAGCTGCCATAGCTGTAGTTAGTAGTGAGTGTGTGTGTGTGCTCGAGTGTTACGAGTGATGCGTGTGGGATATCCAGGGTGATCCCGTGTATGTGAACAGTGAGATGTTTGGGCGCTGAGSYCGCCATAGCCAATTGGGAGTGAAATTCGTATCTGAAAACCATATCTCTGAGTTTGAGTGGGCGCATGTCGCCAGTATGCTGCGTTACTGTTTACTTGTGTGAAAAGTGTGTTTGAAAACGAGTCTGATTGCATCTCTGGGGATTCGGCATTATCCAGGGTCCAACCCTGCATCAGTAATGCCACTCCTCACACAAGATTCGGCATTATCCAGGGTCCCTGCATCAGTAATGCCACTGCTCACACAAGGCCACAAGGGCCAGCATGCAGACCCAATACCTTTCTCTGCGGATTCGGAACTCGCAAATGTCATTTACGAATTCCCTCTCGGAATTCGGTGGCAAAAACATTTCCAGTAGCGCGAGACTTCAAAAAGGTAATTCAATAATTCACCGGAAATTCATGCCCGGAAATTTTGCCAAAAGATTTTAAACAACGTGCAAACTCACAAATGTCATTTTTAAATTCCCTCTCGAAATTAATTGGGTTAATTGCAAAATATTGCTTTTTCCAAGTTTGGCAGCAAAAATGTTGTCGGTTCGAAGTTTCCTTCGCAAAAATAGAGGTTTCGTTGCAACTTTACCGGGAACCCGTAGTTTGCCAGCGCGTTTTGCCAAGTTTCACAGCAAGGGACTGGCCTCAGGTACTCAGGCACTCAGCGTTCGGGCCTCAGGTACTCAGGGGCAGCGGTTTTTTCTTTTTGTTTTGTTTTTTCAGCGTTCTTTTTTTTTTTTTTTTTTCCGAGGCATCGTGGCCGAGGCATCATGGCCGTGGCACAGCCACATGTAGAGGTGCTTTTATTTTCTTTTAAATTTCCGCCGTCGCCAAGGCATCTCGGGCGTGGCCACGGCCGAGATGCCTCAGCCACACCCGCGCCGGAAAA